GTTCCAAGCCGATAAATTAAAAAGCTCCAAGTAACTTATTTTACAATTCCAATGTTTCCCTTTATAAATAACAATCTTATCGAGGGAAGAGCTAGCACATTGATGTCAGTATTTCGTGGCCGTGCAACCCGGCCAATTGATTCTATTGGTTTCTGAAGAGTAATCAGTGTCTTCGGGTTCGCGCGGCGTTCGGAAATCGATAAGATCAAAATGGGCCGGCGTTCTCTACTGTAAACAACGTGCTCGAAATCGCATCGAGCGGTAGAAAGAAAGCGGCACCCCGTCGAGGGCGTAAAAAGCTCACTTGTGATCGATGCGACAAGCATACACAAAGACACAGGCGCACACAGGTATCCTAGAACAAACGAAACACGTTCCACCTACACATTCTTTCCCCAGCAACTTCTCTACCTGTCGTTGTCCCTTCACCTTTGTTTCTTTAATCTCCTTTAATCATTCCTTCGCGTTTCTCGCAATTAGGTCGGTCAAAGGAGAGACCGCCGTTGGACGGCAGGAAGAAACACGTTGTTAGGCCAAAAAGTGGGCGTCGTTTGAAAGAAAAAACAGGAAAAGAATAGAAGAAGAAATAAAGAAAGGTAACCGCTTTTAAAAGGAACGCGTTGTGCACGCGTGTACATGTATACAGATTTAAAAGCGTACGAAAAGGAAATTCTTAAATGTTCTTTGAAACGGTCGCTTCGCCGAAAGCAGCGAGCTTTGTCCTTTCGTTTCGTCCCGCTTTTCTTAATCTTTCATTCGCGACGGACGGACGTATCCGTGTCACAGTTTCAAAAAATTCCGCGACGTTTGCCGCGATGCTGTGACATTCTGTCGTTGTCTCGTTTCGGGTACAATAATTCCGGATGAAATGGTTCAAAATATAGACGGGGTTGTGTTTCGTCAATTTTCGAATTGGGTCGCTGTTTTTCTGCTTCTTCTTTATGTATTTTCGTTGAAACACGGGACGTTCACGTGGACGGCGGGACGGAATACATCTGGAGTTTCGAGCACGTATAAAGTCTATTTTATGGGCAGCGGATAAAGAAAAGTTTGGAAGATTCAGACAAACGTATACGGAATTTCTTCGATCTCCTATACGCCGGCGGGGGAAAACGGTATTTCAGGTATGCGACGAGAGGTAGGGACACGGACAGAGGCTGCTTCTTTATTGCGCCACCGTGGAAACATCGATAATCTTGGAAAGTTCGTCGAGAGCTTTCGACGATTCATGGGGCACCATGCTGCTATCCTAAACCGCGGTAATCGCTCGTCCTGGAGGAAACGTTTTCTTTGGGTATTCTGAGGTGGTTCGTGAAGGATAATTGATGGGGAAATTCAATTTTTACCAAGGATATTGGAGATTTAGATTGTCTGCGTTATATCGTGAACGATGCTTTAATAAATACGTCGTACCATCGATGGTGCTGTTGGTAATGGACGAAAATAGAGGAATGGGCGAATTATTATTTTTTTTTTTTTTTTTTGAGAAAAACTTCTATATTCTGCACGTCTTTCGATAGAAATCTTACGAATACCTCACTATCCAGAATTTTATTACTTTGCAATGCAAAAAGTATTTATAATTTTTTCACTCCAATCTCGAACAAAAATCTGTCACTAAAGAACAATTCTTGCATGTCCACCGTATTCAATCCTATCGATAAATTATTCATCTTTGACTTACTACAAAATTCCAAAATTCCTAATGAATAATTATTAAATCGTTCACTTTCACTAAGAAAAATATCCACAATTTTTGCAAGATTCATAGAAACTCCAATCTCGAACAAAAATCCATCGTTAAAGAACAATTCTTGCCTATCCACCATGTTGAATCCCATCGAAAAATTATTTATCTTTGACTTGCTGTAAAATTCCAAAATTCCTAAAAAAATCATCATTAAATTATTCACTTGCAGTAAAAAATTATCCACAATTTTTGCAAGATTCATAGTTACTCGAATCTCGAACAAAAATCCATCGTTAAAGAACAATTCTCGCCTATCCACCATGTTGAATCCCATCGAAAAATGATTCATCTTTGACTTGCTGTAAAATTCCAAAATTCCTAAAAAAATCATCATTAAATTATTCACTTGCAGTTTAAAATTATCCACAATTTTTGCAAGATTCATAGTTACTCCAATCTCGAACAAAAATCCATCGTTAAAGAACAATTCTTGCCTATCCACCATGTTGAATCCCATCGAAAAATTATTTATCTTTGACTTGCTGTAAAATTCCAAAATTCCTAAAAAAATCATCATTAAATTATTCACTTGCAGTAAAAAATTATCCACAATTTTTGCAAGATTCATAGTTACTCGAATCTGGAACAGCAACGATAGCAATAAAAATGCATCACTAAAGAACACTTCCTGCCTATTCCACTCATTCCACATCGATAAATCATGCACCTATAACTTTCCTTAAAATTCAAAATCAGATTACACACCTAAACCCTAAATTCCTTTCCTGCCCACAAAAATTGTCCACAATTTCTACAAAAACCACAAACACTCCACTCTGTAACACCAACGACAACAACAAAAATCCCTCGCTAAAGAACACTTTCTGCCTATCCGCCATATTACACATCAATAAATCATCCACCCCCAGACTTTCTTCAAAACTCCAAGCCACGCTGTTCGTAGAGTGCGGCGTTGTGCCGGTGCCCGACACATTTAATATACATAGAACGGCGACAGAGCAATCGATGGAACTTGCTTATTGGCAATTTGTCGAGTGACGTGATAGGATGTAGGGAGAGACCTAGTAACGAGGATGTTGTTTTCCGAAGACGGGGAGTGGCGGTGGTTCCCTCTGCCTCACGGCGTAAAATCGTCCCTATCCCGGCCCGTTCGTGTTGCATCGACGACGAGAGTGACGCAGCGGGGGTGTGTTCGTTGCGCGAGAGGAGCCTTCCGCGGGATGCAATTTATCCTGTCGCATTAGATTCAAAATAATTGATCCCCCGGGCGGGCGCAGAATAGCGAGTCATTACTTGAGACTGATGGCGCCCCCATCGGCCGGGAGCTGGCCGGAGGAAAATAAAAACTCGGAGATCACCTGCTCCCGATGAAAAATTTGACGGGGGAGGTCGGCGCGAATAAGGGAACGGTGGAAACACGGCTGCCTTCGAACCGCACGGACAGAATGAGTTTTCCGCGCTTGCAACGCAGGCGAAATTTGCCCGGCCGGAAGCGTGGACCCGTTCATCTATTTCCTGTCTCGGTTAGCAGCTCTGGAGAACCCTCCTCTTCTTCATTTTTTCTTCTCCTCTTCTTCTTCCGGACTGAGGGTTTTGACTGTACGAAGAGAAATCGCGAAGTCGGTCTCTCGTGGTATGTTGATTGGAAGTAGTGAAAAATTAGGTTCCTGTTGGTTGATTTATGGCGGGACGTGGCGTTTCTTGTGTTTCCAGAGATGAGAATTATGTTTGGGGGTATTGTGGAGTGGAGGCAGCGCTGGAAATTAGTTTCGACTAATTTGAGGAATTATGGGAACGACGTCGATTTATTTTCCTTCGATGGTTAAGTAAATTTTAATGGTAATTTTGGAAGTATTAAAAGAAGGTTTAAAGTTAATTTTTTTCTGAAATGAAGTCTCATATGAAAAGTCTTGGTTTTTATCACCTCCATTTTGGTTCTTATACACTACCGGCCAAAAGTTTGGAATCACCTCCAACTCTTCATCGATATTAAATCTGCTGCTAATTTTTTATAGATTTCAAGTTTATCTCAATTCTACATTTATCAATTTATCTCATATCAATCGATTCGAATGATAAAAAATTCTTAAAGTCGCTGACTTTCTTCTGGAAATTTTTGTGTAAATTGCAATGCTCGGTGATTCCGAACTTTTCGCCGGTAGTGTACGTCTGACAACAATTTCACGTGTGCAAAGAATATTTGAAATTGATTTTTCACGAAATAGCAATTTTATAGGTATGCAGAGAAAGTTTAAATTAAATTTTTTTTTAAACGAAGTCTCATGTGAAAAAATTTGAGTATACATCTTTTTCTTCGTTTTTTGTCACCTCCATTTTGGTTCTTTTATATCTCATCACAGTTTTACGAGTGTACGAAGAATATTTGAAATTGATTTTTTATGAAATGAAGTCTAGTATAAAAAAATGCGATTTTTCATGTTTGTCTTGGATCTATACGGCCTCCGTTGTGGTTCTTTCTCGATTTCGAACGCACCATATCTAGTATATCGATCACATTTAGACTCTACAAGGGCCTAGAAATTTTCAGTCATCGTAAACGTTATCGGCACGTTAATAATAAACCCAGTTTAGATATTCTAATGAATTGCAAATTAGCACGAATGAGTGACGAGAAAATGAAATACGCATCTAGGTAGAAAATACGGGGGATTATAGCGAGAAATGCGGTCAATTAAAATTATGTACATCTATATAAAATTACGCAATTTTTCGGCCGATCAGCCTCGTTTGTCAATCACTCGGGAAATTTCATCGCGCGTTCCGCGACTCTGATCAAATTTATCATCGATGCGGGAGGCTGGACACGACCCGGCAAATCTGGCGTAATAATTGAATCCGGTATCAAATTTCACGACACTTAATAGATATTGTCAAAGATAATATGTTTCGCGACACCGTGAACGCGAGGAGAACGCGTGTCGTTTAAAATGAAATTTGTATCCGTGCGACGCTCGCTTTCATATTCATGGTCTATTAAAATTCGCCGACTATAGAGTGCGGGTGTGTGTGTGTGCAGCGAAATGATTGAAATCTGAATAAAACACGATGACCGAATACGCGAATTCGCGCCACTGGAATTTCTTGTAATTAATAATCGCGGTAGCGTGCACTAAATCGTCGCTAAAGTGCACTCGGGAGCAATTTAAACCCGGGGACAGTTTTGGCAAATGTGGAGAAAGAAAGGAAAAAAAAATGAGAGAAATGGTCGACGAAAAAAAAAAAAAACACAAAAAATAGAAGAGCAAGGGTGGTCGAAGTCAGTACTCACGTATATCGAGTGCTCGAACATCGCGACTCGGCCCGAACAGCGTCAGCAACGCGCAGAACTTGGCAATTATTGGCAGGCAATCAGTCTTCATGGTTGCCGAGGTCTGGTGTCTTCATGGAAGCTCGTGGCAATCGCCTGAAAACACATCGTGACGAAAAAAATTTACTTCCCGAGTTTATATACTTTGGAAGCGTCTCGATCGGTGAAATTACTTTCCAAACTTTCCCTCTATCTTTCACAATTTTACCTAGCTCTCCTTTTTTATCTTCCCTCGACCAGAGAGAGAGAGAGAGAGAGAGAAGTTTCACGGGAATAACGTCACCGGTATTATCGCTGAATTGTTAAGACTGTTCGAAGCTTCTTTTTTATTGCAAAATGTTCTTAGAATAGATTAACCATTCGAACGAAAATAAACGGAAAGAAGAGAAAAATTACTCGACATCGACGAAGCAATTATATTGAAATCATCAGAAAATAAGGTTACACCGAACCGTAATGGTCTACCTATAATCGAGCTCCTTCCACGGGTACCATAATAAATCATGTCGTCAAAGCGGCCAGGTAACACGATCTTTCGGAAATAAATAGCCGGAGCAGCTCAATATACATTACAATACAAAATACCTACATTCATCTGAGAACCGTCGATCGTAACAGTCATCAATCTCCCGAGATATATCTCATCGGGCCTCTCCTTTTTATTCCACGCGACACGCACGCCGTTCTTTCGCCTTCTTTATCATTCACCTTCTCTCTTCGATCCAGATAAAACCATCGATCGTTACACCGTCACTATTCTTCGAAGAGAGAAAGGGAAACAGAGAAATAAGCTAACCGAAAATTCTCAACTACCCTCGGTGACATAATTCTCGACGTGAACGAGAGAGAGAGAGAGAATAGTAGAGACTCGAGGAGGCAAAAGGAGCTTAATCGACTTACGAGCAAAACCACCGACGATTCGGGCGTTTCTTTTGCTTGGCACGACGCTGGATAACCAGTCAGCCCCTAGGTGGTCCTTCTGTGGAACGTGTGTCGCCTAGAGAAACACAGAGAGACTGACTCGTAATCGAGTCCCCGCTCAATTAGCCCAACCTTGCACTTTTGCGTCCTTCTGTTGGGTCGCGTGAAAGACTAAGAGAAAACGACGACGAGGAGGAAAGGAGAGGCATTCCTTTGGCTTTGCTCCATTTTTATTGCAGCCGGAAACGGCTCTTACGGTCACGCAACTACTATTCGACGTGCAGTCCGCCTCGTCTATCAGCGAAATAAAGAACGGAATTTCGCTCGACTCGCTCCTGGAACCTAGACAAAGCGTAATTAACGGCACGAGATGTAATTGATTGCGACGTAGAGAGTGTCGGTGGCCATTGTCGTTAGATACCTAGATTTTTCCCATACTTTCCTACGGTTACTTACTCTACTCTCTTCGATATACGTGAGAGATTCCAGATATATCTAACTATTCGAACGGTATTTACGAGCGAAGGAACGATATCGGCGGCTTTAGGGCTATTCGAACACGACAGAGTCAATATTGAAACTATAAAATTTAATGGACGAGATTTAGAAAGCGTTCGGATACGATGTAGGGGACATTCGATACGTCAAATTCAATATTGGGGTGCTTTGGTACACGTGAAGCGAAAAGAATGGGGGCTGAAATCCGTGGTGTGTGCTAAAAGGGAGCTTAAGATTTCTAAGAGTATCTCGGATCTTCTGTGCAATTCGCGAAATTTCAAATATCTGTTTAGCTGTACAGGTGAACCAAGGAGGTATCAGACCCAGTTTATGAAAGAATCGTTCGAATCTGTAAGATTTACCGGAGGAGGATCTCGAAGACTCCGGAGGTCACGGGGTTCTTGGGAAGCATCGAGGGCCACCAAGTTTCTAAGAGGTTCCGAAGGTTTTAGAGGTTTCAGGAGATTCCAAAGGTTTCGGAGGATTCGCAGATTTTGGCAGGTCCCGGCGATAGGTATTGAGGAACTTGGAGGGTTCGAAGGTTTCGAACATAATGAAAGTTTCTCGGGGGGTTCGCGAGAGCCTCTCGTAGTCTCTCATTCTTTCTATATAAAATTCGTTCCAAGTTTATCTATATCTAGCGGCGTAAATTCCGATTTTTCGTTCTCCACGTCGATCATGCACGTGTAATACCCACGACGCATAGCAACCAAGACGGACCACACATAGAACTGCGAAACCCCACCCGTCTAAAAACCAATCGATATTACAAGAATTCAGGACAGAGCACACGCATCGGAATTGATCGATATTGTAATAAGGGAAGGGCAATTGTATAAAAGAAGAACCGTTGGAAGTAAAGGTAGTACGTTCTTAACCTCCGAATCTAACGTGTTATTATTAACGTAACTCGTAAAACTCCTTGTTGCGACCTGATGAGGACGCAACGAAGTCTCGGTTCGGCGGATTATAGCAATAAGCCACTTAGTCACATTTGGCCGCCAGATCGAGGTGCCGACTTTCGGAAGACCGCAGTGTACCCCCTGTGGACTTACTAGCGCGATACTCGGACAATAGGTCCCAAAAACACTCGGGACCATAAAACATTCGTTACCGGGGGTCTCCCAAAAGGTCACAGTTTTTGTCGACCAATAGCAGAACACACCACGTTTTCCACCTCCATAACACAACCACCAATCAGAACCAACCTAATTTCTATATATACATCTACACACCTGAAAACCGACAATCACAGTAAAACGAGTGCACGAGACACATCGTCAAAAAAAGAATAACCGAATTTCAACTAAACAAAAATTTCAACTAAGTTTCAATACACCTCGAACCAGCGAGAACTATCATCAACCTGCGCCAGAACTCCTGGTCATAAGACTTGATCAAAGTCTAGGACGCAACACTCCTCACTGTCAGTCTTTAGCTTTAGAAGTGTATAGTTTCGGAAATCATCAGGTAAACTACTTATTTTCTCAAACAGAAGAACTGTTATTAGGAGTAACGGATTCCGACACGTATTATTTTCCTTTTATTTGTTTGCGGGTAAAATCCCAGTCACACATGCATGGAGTACACGCATGTTTCATTATTGCCTGTGAAATTTATTCAACGCATCTGATCCATCAAACGCGAAATACCGGTAGTTGTCTCTAAAGCGATTTCCGATTACAGTACAATAGTATTAATCCTGTTTTTCAATATCGCTTTTATGCCGCATGATTCAATGCTACATTGCTAATTAAATAACGCTATTTCTGTAATTCAATCTCCCCGCGATATATCGAACATTCATGTTAATTAACTGTTAATTCCCTAAATGTTTCAATTAATGTAAATGCGTTTGTAATTACCTATTCTCCGTACAATTTCTAAATGGTTCAGGTGTTTTTTTTTTATCGACGTTTATCGATCGCCGTTTCGCCAATTCCGGTGTTGTTCGGTCTTCACAGGCACGGTTTATGGCACGATCGAACGGCAACGGTTATTTTTGAGTTCAGGATTTCGTTTACTGTTTGTACGTGTCTAATTACAACCTGGCGAGGGTCACTAGAATTGCTTGTTGGATTTTTAGTCATTTCTGTCCCTCGCGCTCAATAGCCTAAGAACATGCCATAAACCACGAATTTCCGAGCGGCACATCTACCTGTAACGGACGCTTGCCAATGAGTCACCCGGAGGAAATTTCAGCTTTTTGGGACTTTCCACCCTTCCAAGGCTGAACATGCCATAAACCACGAATTTCCGAACGGCACATCTACCTGTAACGGTACGCTTGCCAATGAGTCACCCGGAGGAAATTTCAGCTTTTTGGGACTTTCCACCCTTCCAAGGCGACGGCGCGCTAAGGGCACACTGGAAGGGCGGCGAAGACGCTATCAGACACCCTGAGTGGTGAATGTAATGGTTAACTATTTAACCAATCAGCGTGCTCTAACGAAAAACTCTCCCACGGACGTCCGAGGGACGACGTCGAGATTCATTCGTCCAACAAACACCAAGGAGCAACCAGCTCATATTGTAACGACTTTACTAGTCCCAGTATAACTGGGTGGTCCTTCGAGAAGGTTTTGAATTAAAGTTGGCATACCACGTGCAAGTACAACCCAAGCTCGAAAGTTGATTTTAAAACAATCACGGGCATTAACAGGTGTACAATACGTTGCGATACGTACTTCGTTACTTCGTTGTGGAAGTTGACGGTACGCATTGAGCACTTGATCGAGGAAATTTCACCCGGTAAACTTCCGGCGGTGAACGTTAACGTCCAATTTCCGCCGTTCAGCGTTACGCATCGAACCGATGGAACTCTTTAGCGCGCGATCTTCAATTCTAATCCTCCGCGGTCGTCGAATTCACGGAATTTTCCAACTGTTATATCAACTCTCCGGGATAGAGAGCAGACGGAGAGAGAGAGAGAGAGAGAGGAATATAAAAAGAGAGGGAATAAAGGTAGGAGAGACGGTAACTCAGAGGGCATAAACGAGCACCGTATCGCGAACTTTCACCGTTAAAGGCAAGACAAGAACGGTTCCCGGTGAAATTTTTCGAGACCCGCAAGTAGTTTCGAAGGACTTGCGGCGTAATGACGAGAGGACTGCTCGACGGGCCAATTCCTTTCTGCTGCCGTTGCAAAATACATTGGAGATTTTATGGTAGCCAGGCTGTGGGAGAGTCGGTGAAACTTGCGGATTGTAGCTGGAAATCCCAGGAAAGACAGATCCGAGACGATCACATGTATCGAATCTCGGCTTATACCGCGGACTGGATAGATATAACCGTCGAACTTTCTCGTACGGAACATCGAAAAGCGGTCATGTACCTTTAAACGTCTCCTCTTTGATACAAATTTCACGAGAATCGACGACATCTGTAGCGGAGAGAGTTGTACGGATCTATCCTAACTGCATATCAAATCAATCTCTTTGTAGGCTTTTAGGAGTTTCTCGCGAGTTGCTTTACCGTTAGAGCTCTTCTGACTTGCCAGAGTTAGATCGGAAAACTATGGACTCTTACGAATTATTCTGTGAGCAAGTTTCGAATATCTCAGCTAATTATGTACCCACTTAAGAATGCAAAGATCCTCGGGAATATTCTCTTGCAATATGAACAAGGTGTCCT